TATCTCAGCGTCTGCTGTTTTTGGAGGCTGGGGGGATGATGGTGATGAGGTGGGATGAGACAGGGGGAGAGTGGGGAGAGTGGGGAGATAATGAAGAATGAGAGTAGGGGCAAAAGGTAGAGAGGAATATATGAGAGAGCACGCAGTGAGGGGCTGTAGTGAAAAGAGAAAAGGAGCGAAGTCAAAGAGTTTGATATATATATGCGTGCCCCCTCCACAGGGTTACAATGTTACAAGTTGCCGCAGATAGGTCCTACTTCTTTATTCTTCATTTGGTTATCTTTGTTATGCCCGTGTCTTAATTTTCATTACCTTACTGATTACCTTTTTTGTCTTTCCTTTCTCCCTATTTTGATAATTATCTTATTTCTTTTCTCCTTGTCTGTCCAACATTATTTACTTCTGTAACAATTGTGCAGGTGGTAGGAAAGTGCTGCTGGTAAATCCTTTTTTCTTTTCTTTCCCTGCTATGTTTCAATCGATCTTGCTTTGTCCTTCTGCTAGATGGGGACATTGTGTCACCGTACTTCTGTTTTTGCAAACAAACCCAATCATCATTGCGGGTGATTGGTGGGTGTTCTGGTCTAGTTTGCTCCTTTTTTCCTATCAAATATCTATCGTCCTCATCTTTCCTGCTTTTTTTGTATTTGTTATTCTCTTGTAACACCTCCCATATTTAGCACTTATGTGACCTTATTGTGTTACAAGTGCCTTAAAACTGTTACTAAGACTGAAACAGTCATCATACTCTGATCTCATTCTCTGAGAGGGTGGTGGAGGGTGCCACTTGTAGGTCCTACTTCTTGTCTTATCCTATGATATTACTGTTTGTCTTTCTCACTTTTTCAGTGCATTGTGTTATTGTTATTGTGTCAATGTACTTCTCTTTAGGTGGTTGGTTGGAGGGCGCCACTGGTAGATCCTACTTCTTTACTTTCTCCTCTGTTGTTTCTGTCTGTCTGTCTTACTATTTCCCAGCACTAAATGACCATTATTGTATCGATGTGCTTCTCTTTACTCAAACAAAAAAAATCTTCTCTTTACTCCAACACGTTTGATGTTACCTACTCCCTAATGAGTGTTATCTGGTCTGGCTCCCCTGTCCAGCGCTCCCACACGGGCGAGAAAAGCTTCCAGTGCCCGGCATGTGGCCAGGCATTCACGGAGAAGGGCTCGATGAAGCGCCACTATCAGTCGCAGCATGAACAAATCAAGCCCCACGACTGCCCCGCCTGTGAGAAAAGTTTCTCCCGCAAGTTCCTGCTGAGCAAGCACCTGCAGCGCTACCACCCGGAGATGAGCTCGGGGCGTGTGGAGGAGGCCGAGCCTTCGGGGCCTGTCTCGCAAGTTGGGTTTTAAGTGGGCTCTTTGTGTGTGTGTGTGTGTACCTATATGTGCACTGTGTGTTAGTGTGCCTGAGTATCTGTGTGTGTATGTTTGTGTTTATTTGTGTGTGTGTCTGTCACAGAGTAGCTGTTCAAACCGTTGTTGTGGGTGGTTGGCAGGTGCTCTGGTGTGGTTTGCTCCTTCTTTCCTATCAAACATCTGTCGTCCTGATCTCTCCTCCTTCTTTTTTATGTTGTTACTCTCTTGTAACACCTCTAATCTTTGGCACTTATATGACCTTATCGTGTTGCAAGTGCCGTAAAACACTTATTAAAAAATAAAACTGTCGTTTGAATCCTTAGTTTGCAACCTTAGGGCAGACAAATATGTGGGCAAGTCTTACAAGTCTAACGTCTAACATGGCTCCAACTAAACGAATAGAATGTACAGTTTTAATTAAAAACTAAGAACTTTATTGGGACTCGTGGAGTGGGGGGCTCTAATAAAAAAAGAAAGGTTGTGCAAAGAAGAAATAGGACTGAGTAAAAGCGTTAAAACTTAGCTGGACAAGAAATAAATGCGAACGCACTCGATTACCGATTATAGCTTGCGTGTATCCAAGATGGTTTTCCTCTGTGGCGAGAAGCAATAACAAGAACAATATTTCTAATACTACCAATATTAAATCAAGCTGCTGTAGTACCTGTCACACGTTGTAGGTTCTAGTAACTGGTAGGGTACCCTTACGTTAAACTAATAAAGACTGACACTGCTTTTTATTAAACAAAAGAACAATTGACGTGCACTCTGCAAGGTTTCTGGGCTGTGACACACACACAGAGTAGATTCCAACAGTAGAATGGCGTAGTAGATCTTTTTTAATGATAGTACTTGCACAGGTCAGGATTCATTGTATTGTTCATTACTCTGGAGGTCACTGGGTTTAAAGTTCAAATTGTTGTTCATTACTCTTCCCCTTTTCTGACTATGGTAGACTACTTTGCCCTGTCTTAAAAATTGTGCATCATTCTGCTCTGCAGAAGCTGTAACTCTACTTTTGCCTCTCTATCGTCTGTTCTCTCACTCTCTGTGTCTGCGTATGTACTCTCTACCCTGCTTCGGTCCTTGTCTTTCAAACCCCCTGTACTTACTTGAGAACCTTTAATCTCCTCTCTCTCTGGGATTTGCCCTCTCTAGTCACAGGGATTGTTTTCTTGCTCTTCTTTTTTTTTTTTACTTTTTCTTTTTCTGCTTACCTGCTCCTCGGTCTGGCTCTCACCTTCTTCCGACAATGTGCCACTGACACTACCGCTTGATGAGTCAGGCTCATTGGTCTCATCGTCCGTGTCACCTTCCTGTCTGTCACTGTCCACAGACTTGTGCTCCGCCTCACCAGTATGGGTGAGGTACTGTATGGAGGTTTGCATTTTAGTAGTTGCTGGTGCCAAAAGGGGTGGCGGTTTTGAGGCACTTCTCTTCGCCACGTCTATGGTCTTCCTGAAAACAATCTAGATATTTTTCAGGGTTAGTGCATGATTTCGCCCTGTGCCCTGATCTCCCTGTTAAAAAATTGGGCCTTAAAAGGACCCATTTCAACGATTTTTGGGAGCAGTTTCCCCAGCAAGTATAGCCTATATAGAAACCTGCGCCCAGTCACCCAGCTGGTTAGCTAACTGTCTAGGTCTCTTGTGTATTCCATTAGGATGAGAGAACAGGTGACCATACCCATTGCTTCTAGGCTCTTCTTGATTTCGTCGTTGCTGTAGCTGATGTGGATGCCATCTATTGTCAATCTTGTAGAAGGTATCTCCTTCCTGTCTGGCCCTCTCATGGCAAAGGGATTCTCTGAGAAAACAGAAACCTGGGTGCCTTTTAGACTGATGCTAGAGGCTAACATCTTTGCTCTCGCATTGTCATCAGCTGCATGAACCATCCAGGTATCTCCCATATTTTGTGCGCCCACCATGGACTTGGGACCTGCTACCCTCTCACCTGCTGAACAGATAAGGAATGTCGTGGTCTCCCTGGGACGATCGGCTGACCTGAGGAATATGGGCTTTGAGAAAGACATAGGAGGGAGAACGAGAGAGAGAGTAAATACAGCTATCCAAGCTCCACGAGTACAAAAAGAAAACAGTAACAAAGACACAACGTGGGACAAGACAAGCACGGGAGTGGGGGGTGAACTTTCGTGAGGATTACAGAAAAAAGAAGAAAATACAGACAAGAAAAAACAAACGACACCACTCCACTACCAAAAAGAATATGCAAAAAGACTCTAAACAACATAATTAAACATTGAAAATACCCACAGCACCATATACCTAAAAGTCGAATAAACAACACGCATGCACATACAAAAAACACAGAAATGCGTACAGAAACACGCCAGTACAATATCAAAAACTCTTGAGCAGAACAACACGCTACTGACCACAGACCAAGTCGAACCGGAAGTCTTGTTCATTACTCTTGTTGTCATGGGTCTGTGGACTTCACAGGAGGACTGGAACCGAAAAAACTGGAAACGTGGCCGGTGGGCAGAGAGCACGATGTTTTAATCGACTTGAAAAACTGTAGCTGTAACAAACAATAATACTTTCAGGATCCACTGCACAGGTGCTTCAATAAGCACAAAATGATTCACAAATACTTGAAAACAGACAAACAAACGAAACTGGCGCCCAGTAGGCACATACTGGAGCAAAACACTGCTCAGCTTAAACCACGGGCCCTAAACTAAAGACGGGAATAAAAAGAACACGACTGATCTCTGTGTGGATCAAACCAAGACTGGCGAGGTTTTAGTGCTCTTAGTCCATCCCCTCTTCAAGACAAAGATTCCCACTGTGCTAGGAGTCGCCGCCTCCCACGTTGGTGTAGGGACAAAAGCTCCATGCTACAAGACGATCCCTGAGTAGAGATACGATCGCCAGTGGTCACGCCTTACTGTCCGTTCCTTCCCCTACTGCATTAATCACGTCGGTGCTACAAAGTCATGTGAGCGCTCATATGACCTTATGCAGTTGCGAGCGCCGTTACTCTTACATGTACTAAGGTCATGTGTACCACTCTGCTACAGTGTGTGTTAGTGTTAGTGCATAACAATATGTGTGTGTGAGTGTTCACTTCTTTGTGTGTATGAGTGTGTGCATTTGTATGTTTGTGTAGGGAAATCTGTGTGTGTGTTCAGGCTGTAAGTTGGTGTGTTTTTCTTTTGCTAAGCTGTGTCCGCATTCCAGCTGGAGATGCTTTAAGTATGATATGGTGTACGTTTCTATAAGTTGATTTATTATTCATAAAGTGTGTCCGCGAAACCCTCGTTCGCTTTTGAGCCTGGGAGAGGGCATGTGAGTTAATTTCTAGAATTGTCTGCTAGATTCAAGAGGATTTATTCAATGTCTCCTCTGTCCATTGTTGTACCATGTGGTGGTAGTTGTTGCATGTAGATTTCTTTCATCCAGATACAGGTTGTCAAAATGAAAAAGTGATGAATTTGTAATTAGTTGTTGTATTGTGTAGAAACTACCCAATAAAGTCTAAATATGGTGTATTCAGACTCGACTTATTGGATTGTGTGTTGTCGTTTCTTACTGAAGAGAAGATGTGTAAAGAGAGGCGTCTATAACAGGGGCAGTGCTAGAGTAAGGCCAAAGGTGCCATACCCCCCCCCC